CAACCCTGGCCCTCCTTTTCTCAATTTTAAACCTTCTTTCTGAGTGAATGGAATCTAACCTTCAGATATTTAGGGTTGTTTTATCTAATTCCCTCCTTACCCTTAGAGCAGCTAAAAACATGCTGAATATATGGAAAGAATTAAATAGTACTTCTTTTTTCTTTTAAGTTGTAGATGGACACAATACCTTTATTTATTTATTTTTAATATCTGTTTTTTTTCAGTTGTAGTTGGACACAATACCTTTACTTATTTTTATGTGGTGCTGAAGATCAAACCCAGGGCCTTGCACGTGCTAGGCAAGCACTCTACCGGTGAGCCCCAGCCCCAGCACCTACCTTTATTTTATTTATTCATTTTTATGTGGGGCTGAGGATTGAACTCAGTGCCTCATGCGTGCTAGGCAAGCACTCTACCGGTGAGCTACAGCCCCAGCCCTAAACAGTACTTCTTGATTTGCCATGACAGTGTATGTGAAACTGAAGATGGGGTTGGTCCAAGTTGAGATGAAATGGAAGTATAAAATGCATACCAGGCTTTGAAGACTTAGTATGTAAAAGTATCTCATTTTTATAGAGACTGTATGGCAAAATTATAACATTTTGGAGATGATCAGATTCTATAAAATATATTTTTTTAAATGTTAAAAGTATGAGCTAGATGTGGTGGTACATGCCTGTAATCCTAGCAACTTGGGAGGCAGGCAAGGCCAGCTAAGGCCAGCCTCAACAACTTAGCGAGAACCTGTCTCAAAATAAAATGGACTGGGGATGTAGCCTGTGGTAAAAGTTTAAAGTATATCTCTATTTAGTGTAAATAAAAGGCTAAAGTATATTCTCTATTTCAGAATGGTCCAGAGAGGTGGTACGCGCCTTTAATCCCAGCAACTCAGGAGGCTAAGGCAGGAGGATCAGAAATTTGAGGCTAGCCTGGGTAATTTAGTGAGACTCTGTCTCTAATAAAGATATAAAGGACTATGGATGTAGCTTGGTGGTACAACATCACTGGGTTTAATCCCCAGTAACATTAACACACACACAGCTCATTCTTCTTCTTCTTTTTTTTTTTTTTTGGTCCCAGGGATTGAACTCAGGGGCACTAGATCACCTGAGCCTCATCCCCAGCCCTATTTTGTATTTTATTTAGAGGGGTCTCACTGAGTTGCTTAGTGCCTTGCTTTTGCTGAGGCTGGCTTTGAATTCATGATCCTCCTGCCTCAGCCTCTCAAGCCACTGGGATTACAGTGGCTCATTATTCTTGGTGCTGACTCCTAAATTAAGGTGATTTGAAGATAAGATGATCTTTTCTGGGGCCAAAGATATTCTGACCTCAAGGTCTGTCAGACCATTATGCAATCATTATCTTCTTGGTACCAGGGCCTCATCTTTATGAGTGCTAATTACATATTTTCTTTTACACTAACTGCCACAGACTTGAAATACAATGGTCCCTCTCAATAGGTCAGGTAACTGCTTGGCCAATAAAATGTTACTAGGAGGGGCTGGGATTGTGGCTCAGCGGTAGAGTGCTCCCCTAGCACAGGCGGGACCCGGGTTCCATTCTCAGCACCACATAAAAATAAAGGCATTGTATTGTGTCCATAAATATTTTTTTAAAAAATGTTACTAGGAAACAAGTCAGGTTCAGATACTGAAACATTTCTCAAAGCTTTCTGTGGTCTGAAATGTTCTGTTAACAATGTAGACATATTCTTTGCATATCCATTTAGTCACTGGGGCTATCAAGCTGTTTGGAACAGTTGCCACTTGGCCTTGTAAGCTAATCTCATTTAGTTGGAACCCCTGTGTTACTTTTTACTGCTACAACAGATCATCACAAACTTAGTGGTTTAAAACAATGAATTTATTCTTATAGTCTGGAAAGCCAAAAATCTAAAAATCAAAATTTTCGCATTCCTTTTGGAGGCTCCAGGGAAGAATTTATTTCTTTGCCTTGTCTAACTTCTGGAAACTGCCTGCATTCTTTGGTTTACAGGCAGGCCTTCCTTTCATCACTCCAACCTCTTGTTTCTGTCATCACATCTTCTACTGTGGTCTAATCACATCTGCAAAGTCCCTTTTGCTATCTCAGTTAACCTCAACTTTTTGGTTTGTTTTTATTGGTACCGGGAATCAAAACCAGGGGCACTTTACCACTGAGCCACATCCCCAATCCTTTTTACTTATTTATGTTTGAGACATGTTAAAGTTGCTGAGGCTGGCCTGGAACTTAAATCCTCCTATATCAGCTTCCTGAGTCACTATGACTACACTGCACACAGTGTGGATAACATTTGTAGTTTCCAAGAAATGGTATTGGATATCTTAGGGGTCTGTTATTTAGCCTATCTCTGCCCCATATACATTTCTTTGCACTGCCTTGGTGAAGGGTGATAGGAGAGAGCCACCTTGCAGAATTGCAAGGTTTCCAAGTATTCTTAAATTAAGATCTATAAAGAATAGGTAAACTCAGCCCTATAAAAACTGGTCTTATTATTTCATATATATATATATATATATATATATATATATATATGTGGGATATTAGCTCCATATCCCTTCCTCCCAACACTGCTTCATTTGAAATGCTCTATAGTAGTGCTGGGTGAGGTGATGCACACCTGTAATCCCAGTGAGTTGGGAGGCTGAGGAGGCAGGATGATCCCAAGTTCAATACCCTCAGCAATTTAGGCCCAAAGCAACTTAGCAAGACCCTGTATCAAAATAAAATTAAAAAATAAAAACAAAGGCCTGGTATGTGGCTCAAGGGTTAAGTGACCCTGGGTTCAATCTCTCGTCTGCCCCCCACCCCCAAAAAAAGGAAGAAAAAAAGCAGCTCTGTAGTGCTAAAGCTGAACTCCTTATTACTGCATCCTGAAAAACTAATTATTAGACATAGTAAGATGTGAGTTTTCTATGATGATTTTTTTCACATAAGCCTTTGATCCACCAGGTATAATTGTAGTCTGCACCATGCTTACAGTGTCATGAGAAGGCAATAGCACTATATTTTTTTGCTTAATGCTGTATCCTACAAAATACCTTCACATTGTTTAGCTTACTTAGGCACAGGAAAAGGGTTGTTTATTTATTTTATTTTTTTATTGTTGTTTTGGTATCAGGGATTGAACCCAGGTGTGCCTAACCACTGAGTCCCAGACCTTTTTTATATTTTGAGACAGGGTCTCACGAAGTTGCCAAGACTGGCTTTGAATCTGTAATTTTCTGCCTCAGCCTCCCAAGCTGCTGGATTACAGGCATGTACCACTGTGCTGGCTAGGTGTTATTTCAGTTGTACAGATGAGTAAACTATGGTTGCAAAGCAGAGAATGGACTAGAAGGTAGGTGACTTAACATAGAAACCCCTGGTAGGCATCATCCACATGGATGGAATGAATGAAATTTACTTGTTATTTGTAGAATTGACTGGATTTCCCAGCTACTTCCCAGGCTGAGGCAGGAGGATTGAAAGTTTGATGACAGCCTCAGCCAGCCCTATCTCAAAATAAAAAATAAAAAGGACTGTGGATGTAGTTCAGTGGTAGAGTGCCCGAGTTTCAATCATCAGTACCAAAACAAAAAAGAATAGGATGGACATCATGATTATTTCAGCATGGGGATATAAATGAGCCAAGAGTCAACTGAGGTTTCTGATTTGAGCAGTGGATGCCACAAATTGTGATAGGATTAGGTTTGGAGAGAGGGTAGATAATGAGTTTGCTTTTGGGATATGTTGAATTTTAAGATGTCTTAAGGATTTATTTAGGGGGATCATGATTTTAAGACAGGAAAAATATTAGTCTGAAACTGAGGGGTAGGACTACCAGTATATTCAGGGATCGTTAATGTTGGTAGTTGTTAAAAGCATGAGAGTAGAAGAAATCACCTATGGAAAAATATGTAGAAGTCTGGATGGAACACTAAAAAACCCTATATTCAGTGTTGTCCACTGCTTGTATCATAATCATCTGAGGGGGCTGGGGCTGTAGCTCAGTTGCAGAGCACTTGCTATCATGTGTGAGGCACTGGGTTTGATCCTCAGCACCACATAAAAATAAATAAATAAAAATAAAAAAAAATCACCCAAGGAGCCTGTTAAAAACAGAATCCTTCAGGGTGCAGTGGCATATACCTGTAATCTTAGTAACTTGGGCTAGGCAGGATGATTGTAAGTTCAACACCAGCCTCAGCAACTTAGAGACCATGTCTCAAAATAAAAATAAAGACTGGGAATGTTGCTCAGTTGTAGAGCATATCCAAGTTCAATCCCCAGTACTCCAAATAGCAAAACAAAACAAAAACAACTAGAATCTACACTGTGAATATGCTGAATGTCACATTAATTATACACTTAAAAATTGGTCAGCACAGTAAATTTTGTTATATGTATATGTAGTTTACCACAATAAAAGAATACAACAAAATAGAACGTCTAAGTCCTATTCCAGACCTGAACCAGTATCTCTGGGTTCATAATTTAAATCTGTTAAGCATCTTGAAATTCTAGTTAATGTATCTTTCCTAGTATCTATAATTGCTGTGCCAAGCCTGGGCATGTTAGAGACTTGAACTGCCAAAGAAAGATAAAATACATTCCCTACTGACCACTTCCTTTAGTCCGGTCAGTGGCTCTTCATTACAGATTGCATTGTGAGGTTTTGCCCAAAGGAAGGCCTAATTAAAAACACCTAAAAAAAAAAAAAAAATTTTTTTTTTTTTTGGTACCTGGGATTGAAATCAGGACTGCTTTACTACTGAGAGACATTCCCAGTCCTTATTATTTTTTTGAGACAATCCTCCTCTGTTTCCTGTGTCATTGAGATTGCAGGCTTATTCCAGCAATCATGATAGGCTTTTTTTTTTGATGGGGTACCGGGGATTGAACTCAGGGGCATTCAACCACTGAGCCACATCCCCATCCCTATTTTGTATTTTATTTAGAGACAGGGTCTCATTGAGTTGTTTAGCTCCTGGCTTTTTGCTGAGGCTGGCTTTGAACTCGTGATCCTCCTGCCTCAGACTCCTGAGCCACTGGGATTACAGGCATGTGCCACCGCACCCGGCTAAGCCTGGTCTAATTTTTAATGACCTTTAAGAGTTGGGGATGTGGATCAGTGCTAGAGCATTTGTCTACCATGCACAGGCCCTGGTTTTGATCACCAGTACCACAAACAGAAACCTAGGAATAGTCTATTCCACATCCTACAACTAAGGATCATATTCTTCATTTAGATACCCTTGCTCACTGATCTTTGGATTCATTCTCCTCAGGGATTGTCCCAAATAATGGGGAACAGACATTCTTTCAGTTGCATGCTTTGGACATTTTGCCAAAAGCTTCTGCTAGGTTTTCAGGCTGCCTCACTGTTCCAGGACAGTGAGCATAATTCTCAGTTAAAAGCCTTTTCAGTACCTTTTACTGCCTTCCCATCTTACTGCCTCCAGAATCTTAATCTGTTCCTTTCTTTCTCTTCTATCAGTGATTCAGGGATCAGATGCCCTGAAGAGTAGAAGGCTTCGGTCCCAACTAGTGTTGCCAAAGCAGCATACTAATTCCATGCCATGGTCCTGGGTCAAGATCTGCACAATCTGATTGGCCATATCACCTCGGATGGCAAGGGAATGGAAGTGATCAAAATCATGGAGTCCCAGCTTTCGGAGACGCCTTGCAGCTGCTCGGTAACACTTCCAAGGCTGTGGCTCCACAAGGAGGTAGCGGCAGAGGGAGGAAAGATGGGCCAGGAACTCCCACAGGCCATGGTCCCCATGGTTAAGATGAATCCACATGGTTATTGACATACAGAAGCCAATGTCAAAAACTGAACGTCCAAATTGACTTAAGAAGGAGCTCAAGAGAACCTTCCGGGTCCTTTGATTCATGAAGTCCAGGGTGATAAAATTCAAGCCATCAGGAAAAGGACATTCTTTTTTAGCTCGCTCCACCAGGACTGGATCTATGTCACAGCATAGGAGACGGAGTTCTCTGGAGGCATCTGAGCAGTTCTCCCCATCATGTAAGGAAAGGAAGTGTTTGTATAGAGCCACACTCAGATCCTAGAGGAATCCAAAAGAGTCATTGCAGTATTCAACATTGAATGGAAGACAAATCTCTCATCCTCTAAGACTGCCATACTTACTTCTGGCTTTATAGGATGTGAGCCTCCTAATTATAACCTACAGAGGTTGTAGTTTTTCTTGAGCAGACTCTCAGCACCCTCCAGGGGTCATAGACTGTAAATGCACTATCCCTATATTTTCTTGATAACTGCTGGTTGGGTTGTGTGGTTCAAAGTGATAGTTCAATGATACTGCAAAGGAGCCTAGAGCAATAAATAATATGCTGGTAAACACATCTTTAAATATATATATATTGTTTATGGTCCTTTATTTTTTGTTTATTTTATATGTGGTGCTGAGAATTGAACCCAGTGCTTCACACATGCTAGGCAAGGGCTCTACCACTGAGCCAGAACCCCAGCCCTAAACTCATCTTTTTTTGGGTATCTCAGACCCAAGTGAAAAGGAAAGGGGTCCAGGAGTGTAACCAGTGTTCCTTACCAGGAAGGTAAGGAATAGAGCAAGCACCATCTTATTAAAACCTGTTTCTCAGAATAGAAACCTGTGGTTGGAAAAGGTCTGGATTCCAAAAATCCTCATTTAGCCTTCATTCTACATCTTTTAGTTTACATACTGTTTTATACTTCATCAACTCCTTCTGAGACTTATTCTGCTTCTGCAGCCATCATTCCCAAAATACACTAAAGATCTACTTCTAGCCAAATCCAACTATTTATGATTTTCACTACCTTAGGAACTTTTTGACTCTTAAAGAAGTCACTCTCTCCTTTTGCTAACTTTGATTTCTATAATCATTATAATCAACTCTAATTTGTGTTTTTCTATATAATTTTTTACATTAGGTTCCTTCCTAATGTATCACGATTCTTAAAGCTTCTTTTTCTTCCCAATACTGGGAATTGAACAAGGGGCATTCTACCACGAGGTAAATTCCCTGCCCCATTTATTTTTCATTTTGAGATGGCTGGCCTCCAACTTGCTATTATCCTGCCTCAGCCTCCTGAATAGCTGGGATTACAGGTGTGTGCTACCCTGCCTGACTTGTTCTCTCAAACTTTAATGGACATATAAATCACTAATATATAAAATATACATGCTGACTTAGAAGATCTGGGGTGAGGGCTGAGATTTGTTTGTATATATTTATTTTTTGCGATGCTGGGAATCGAACCCAGGGCTTCACACATGCCAGGTAAGTTGCTCTACCACTGAGCCACATTCCCAGCCCTGAGATTATATATTTTTAATAAGCTGTCAAATCATGCCAGTGTTCAAAAATTAGTATCAAGGCCCCAAACCACAGTGCTTATTTTCTCCCCATTCTCTGTTTACTTCTTCCATACTTTCTCATTTTGTCTGATATTGGGTGTAGTCCCATTTAACTAGTCACTTAATCACATCAGTGACGGGCTGGATCCCCAGTACCAGGCAAAAAAAAAGACTGAATGTTTCCAGGTTATTAAATGAAAAGCAAGGTATAAAATAGTGTGCTTCTATTATTAAAATTAAATGATGGGGGATATTTATATATTTATTTATACATTTGTAAATGTTTGGGTATACACACAATGGATACCCAAGCAATTACACTCATTGGTGCCACTGTGTGGGGGGAAAGGAGGATTTAGGGTTGACAGTAAAGACTTACTTTTTACTATGAAGTCATCCCTTGTTATCCATGGTGAACTGGTTTGAGGACCCCAGAGGATACTGAAATCCAAGGATGCTCACGTTATTATATTAAATAGTTGTGACTGTATTGTTTAGGAAATAATAAGAATAAAAAAAAAAAAAGATCTGTTCATGTTCAGTACAGACAAAATTTTTTTTAAAAAAATGTATTTTCAATCCATGGTTGATTGTATCCACAGATGCAGAACCCATAGAAAAGCCATCTGTAGCCTTTGTATTTTGATTTTTTAAAAATCAAATATAAACATTTTTTTAAAATATTTTATTTTTTAGTTGCAGTAGGACACAACACCTTTATTTTATTTATTTTTATGTGGTATTGAGGATCGAACCCAGGGCCTCGCACATGCTAGGCGAGTGCTCTACCGCTGAGCACAACCCCAGCCCCAAATATATTTTTAAAAGTGCAAAATAGAAAGCTCTTTAAAATGCACAGTCATGGGCTGGGATCATGGCTCAGTGATAGAGTGCTTCCCTCATATCTGTGAGGCTCTGGGTTCGATTCTTAGCATCACATATAAATAAATGAATAAAATAAAGGTACATCAACACTAAAAAAAAAAAAAAGAAAAAGAAAAAGAAAATGCGTGGTCACATTTAGGACCATCCATTCCTTTAGTTAATTTCAACTATGTCCTTGCTTCTGATGTGTGTAAGATATACTACTCAACTTTAAAATCTCTGGTGTTTTCTTAATTCCTTATATGAAATTCCAAGCCATAGCCCAATGTCTCTTTTCCATTGCTTTTCCCAGATTTCCTATATCATCACGGTAGAGAAATGTTTGCAGGGACACCCACACATCTGCTCATTCCAGTCTTTGGGACTGTATCCAAATGTTCTCCCCCTCTTGTGTACCTCATGGTCTTAAATCATCTTCTAAAGTCTTCTTCCAAAGGTCTCAGACAATAAAATTGTCTGCACCTCTTCCAGCCCCTATTCTGGTGTGATGAGTAGGGGAACCAACTTTTGAAGCATTTGCAATCATGGGGTGAGATAGCCTGCTCCTCTAGGCTATCCTATTGGCTACAAATAGGTGAGAGGCATTTCCTTATTTTGCGTGTGGTTGGACTATAATTATTTTATGTCTAAGAATACTCTGTAGTAAGAAGAGTGGCAAGACCTCCATCTGGCTCCAGGGTCTGTCCTGCACTGTGCATGCGTAACACCCTACAAGTCTTAGTTTCAGGCACGATTCTGTCACTACTGGCCCATCTCTCCCAGTTGCCCAATCCAACTGCACACACTCAAACACAAATCCCCGGAAGCCGCCTCTCCCCAGTCAGGTCGCCAGCCAAGCAGAGAGGAGGCAAATGCAGTGAGTTCAGAACGGTGGCCCTCCCCACCGGGGTCTGGGAAAGAGAGCGGGAACTTGGCATGGAGTTGGGAAGGATTCCTTAAGCTTCTTGAGAGATGGTAATGGGAGGTAAGAACTGCAGGAGGTCGGTCAACATTACGTTTAAAGCCTGTTTTGGTGGTGTGATGCCACGCCCTATCCAGAACCACACTGGACAAGCAGATAGCCAACCACTAGAATCCCGGAGCTCAGATCCCTTGCCCGTCACTCACCCCGGAGTTACACCCCACGTCGAGCCCCAGGATCGGCCTTGCCTCGGAACGCTCGGGAGGGAAGAGCCTTCGAAGCAGCTCCGGGGGCAGGAGGCGAAGCCGTTGCTCTGGAGGGTGAAAGCGGGAATAATGAGGAAAATTTCCGAACGGAGCGGCCCCGGGTTCCAGAACCCGTGGCTCCTCTTCTGCTGCATTCTCCCCAATACCCTCTCCCGTCAGTCTCGCGGGCGCCGCCATTATACTAAGCCCCGCCTCGGATCCGGCGGAACCGGAAATCGGTATCCTACAGCCACAGAGGACGGTAGCGGCGCTGGCGTTCGTGCGCAAAATGACGTAAAAAGACCGGAGGCAATCTTTTGGCTGGTGAAGAGGCTGCGTTTTCTTCGGAGTACTCTCAGTGTGCTTGGCGATGTGCTGACTCCTGGGACTTGTATTGTTTTATTAAACCCTGGCCACAGCCCTAGGAGGGGTTTAGTAATGTCATCCACGGTTTACAGGGAGGAAACAGTGCAGAACTGTTAAGTAGTTTGCCCAAGACCAGTTTGAAATGGGCGACTTGACCAGAGCAAGGTCGTTGTTAGGGTTTTGGAACTCAGTCTTGGCCTAATTCCTTTTCTTTACGAATGCATAAAGTGAGACCCAGAGAAAAGTAATTATTTGGGTTCGCACAGTTAAACTGACACATACGGTTAGGGAAAGGGTAGCTGGGAGGGCTGGGGATGTGGCTCAAGTGGTAGTGCGCTCGCCTAGCATGCGTGAGGCAACTGGGTTCGATTCTCAGCACCATAAAGATATTGTGTCCACCTAAAACTAAAAAATAAATATTAAAAAAAAGAATCTGTTCTTGGAAGTGGGCTGGGGATATAGCTCAGTAGTAGAGTGCTTCTTGCCTGGCATGCAGAAGGACCTGGGTTCAATACCCATTACTAAGAAAAAAAGAAAGATTGCCTGGAGCTACAGGTTACTTGGTACCAGAAGTCTCAAATGGCTCTGCTTGCCAGGACCAACATGTGGACAAGGCAACTGTAGACAGTGCACTCCTTTAGAGACAAGGACCATGCCCCAAGATCCCGAACTTACCTTCTAAGCTCTTTACATATATTAATCTTCACAGAAACCTGGTAAGGAAAGGTCCATAATTATGATTCTTTTTTTTTTTTTTTTGTAGTTGAGTTCATTAGTGCACAACGAAGTAGTGTTAGAAATACCGAAGTGCTGCAAGAAATCAAACACATGCTCATATGTGGGTCTGTTGCCGGAAGCTCTGTCCTTGTCCCCATGTCAATCTAATAATGAGGACACAGTTTTTGAGAAAAAGGAAAAAGGTCTACTGCTTTGCTAGCAAAGGAGAAATGGGGGCTGGGGCTATAGCTCAGTGGTAGAGTGCTTGCCTAGAATGTGTGAGGCCCTGGGTTGTGTTGGCATAATTACAGTCATCTTCCTTTCCCCACCCCTACTTTATGAATAAACTGTTCTTATTCTTAAGAAATAGAAGCTATCCAGAGACTTACTGGTCTGGAGAGGTGCTGGTCTCTCTCTGTTCCCTCTTTGAGAGATAGGAGAACTGCCTGTCTCTGTTCCCAAGAAACAAACTTGCCTTCCACAAAATCAGGTGATGCTTGCTATGCCAGTCACCAGGACTAAACTCACCCCTATTGCGTGGCCACTAGTCTAATCTACAAAAAGAAACATTCAAGGGGGAGTTGCTGCTGCGCTGGCACACGCTTGTGTGCTCTAGCTCACTTTCTCTCTCTCTCTCTCTCTCTCTCTCTCTGTCTCTGTCTCTCTCTCTCTCTCTGCAGAGCAGCCTGTCAGGCTTCTGACAATAAACCTGCTTCTTATCCCACATGTGTGAGTGATCAGTCCTACATCACTTTTCTTTCATCTGTGCCATAAAATAGATTCTTCTCCTGTCTAGAGATAAGTTTGGGCTCTGCACCAGGACTCTCTGGAGATGGCATTTAGCTTGGGGCCAGTGAATCGTGTGGTGATGACCCCTTTCACTGCTGTCCCCTCTCACTCTGGTTTAGTCTAGAGCCAGGAATGCCTGACTCTAGTCACCCCAGCACTCCAACTCCTCCCAATCCAAAATCCCATCTGACTCATTTCTTGCCCACTTAGTTCCCTTCCATTTGGCTCCAGATCTAAAAGCCCATCAGCTAATTCAAATTTCCACTCAGCAATGGCCCTTCTATGACTTGGACAACGAATCCTAATGGCACCTTTGATCCCAGTATTTTAGGGATCTTTACAATTTTTGACAGCACTCATGTGAGGGCTATCTCCTTTCTCTGCTCTAAGCCTTCCCTTTGCCCCTCTTGCTCTTCTGCCCAGCTTTTACTTGCCATTAAGGCTCTGGATTCCTTCAGAGAGCCTACTTCTAGACAAACAAGGGACCATAACCCTTCTCCCTTCTTCTATTGGCCTGCTATATTGTAAAGCCCATCAGACAGATAATTCCATTGTTATAGCAGGCAACAACATGACAGACCAAATGCAGGTGGCTCTATTTTTCCTCCCCAACAAAGAATCCAACACCATTCTCCTTTCTACACTCCCAAACACTGCCCAAAACACATCTACACACCTCTGACACTACCCAAGATACCTATCACATCCTCACCCATCTACACCGCTTACTTCACCCTAACCTCCTGTCTTCTCTAAGGAACTTTTTCAAACAATCTCTAACCCTCACCCAGACCATATCAAATTCCTCCAGGACCTCTCCTCTTCCTGCAAGATATATATATATATAGATATATATATATATATATATATATATATATATATATATATTATCCTTTCTCTAACATTCGCCCTCTCTCCTTTCCAACTCACCAGGCAAGAGGACATTTACCAGCCAGTAATTGGCAAATTGACTTCACATCCCCACTGTAAAACATTTCAAGTATCTCCTAGTCCTGGTTGACACATTCTCTGGAGTGGTTGAGGCCTTTCCTACCACTCGCAAAAAAGAGCACAAACCATTTCTAGTGTTCTCCTTAAAGATCTCATTCCTCGCTTTAGCCTCCCTCCTTCCATCTGATAATGGGCTCCACCCAACAACTTCAACAGCTTCCCTCGCTCTCCTAATGGTACCACTCTTCCTCATCTCTACTAATAATGTTTCATAATTTTATACATTCAAACCTGGCCTAATTACCAATTGGAAAAATAGGGTTAAAAAGCCCTACGCAGGGGCTGGGGTTGTGGCTCAGTGGTAGAGCACTTGCCTAGGACGTGTGGGGCCCTGGGTTCAATCCTCAGCACCACATAAAAATAAATAAATAAAATAAAGGCATTATGTCCAACTACCACTAAAAAATAAAATATTAAAAAAAAAAATCCCTAGGCAGTGATCTCCCTAGCCAAGGCCACACTGAAGCTAACATTGAAATACAAACGGCATACTTAGCAGGATTGACAAGAGGCCTAAGACTAAAGGGGAAAAAAGTGTCAATTTAACTTTTACCTTGGCTGCAACACAGAAGAATGACTTCAAAACTCTCTCTCTCTCTCTCTCCCCTTCTTCCTTTCACTCTCTCTCTTTCATATTCTCTCATATCACCTTAATGAAATAATTAATAATATTTTTCCTAGGACTCTTATTTTTTTATATATATTTTTTAATATTTTATTTACATTTTAGTTTTCGGCAGACACAACATCTTTGTTTGTATGTGGTGCTGAGGATCGAACCTGGACCGCAGCATGCCAGGGGAGCGCGCTACCTCTTGAGCCACATCCCCAGCCCCATAGGACTCTTATTTTTAAAATTCTGTATTTTTGAGCTCATACTTTTGTTCCTGTGCACCAAAATTATAATTTCTGACATTCTGCTTTGCTCAGAGACTAATTTACAAAAGTTGGCTCTTAATCTAATAAGGTTTTTTTTTTGTGTGTGTGTGGTGCTGGGGATAGAACCCAGAGCCTTGTGCATGCAAGGCAAGCACTCTACCAGTTGAGCTGTATCCCAGCTCAATAAGTTTTAAAAGTTATAAGACCTTTACTCATTTGTTCTGTGTACTGTCTTGTCTACATGTGTGTGTGTATCAAAACCAACATATAGAGTGCTCATAAACTAAAATTCAAGAATAGATCCAAATACCTTTGATTCACATGATTTAAAGTTCAATTTAAATTGGATAAAACAAGGTAATGATATCTTCAAAATCAGTAACACTTTTTTCCAGATGATCAAACAATAGAAAATCTCATTTTCTATTAAATATTTTAAATATAATGTCCCTTACTTCTAATGTCCATTACTTCTTTATCCTTCAACAGAAAAGGATGACTTAAAATGTTAACTAAATTTGCTTTTCATGTGTAACCTAAATTAAAAATGGGTGAATCAGATTTAACGTAAATGTGATAAATGTTATAAATGTGATTTTCAAAATTTGCTGCTCAATGGAAAGTTTAAGATTGCTTTATTTCTGATCTCTGCTAAAAGCAAGATAATTAAAGGTTCTAACCCAGGTTTTAGGCCCCTCAAAGTCAACAGTCTTGCACTCCTGATTCTGGGAATCATACCAGCAATGAGGGGGAAGAAGCCTCTGAGCTAGCTGCAGTGGCTTCCACTCCTCCACCTGCCCTACATCCTTCACTATCTAAGCTAAGAAAGAAATTTGTATGTACAATTTTTTCTATTCTAAATGTTCTCGCCCTGTCAGCCCTCTCTCATCACCCAATCTCACATAGCCATTTGAGAGCTCACCCCTTTACTCCCTGTCTGTGAAGTCACTGGGTCTGAGGGGGTAGTCAGAGTCCCTGGTCCATTCTCTTTTGGTGATCTTTTCCAAATCGAAAGATGCCTAGGGTCCTTTACCTCCAAACCTGCCACATACACCCAGGTGTTCCAATACATAACACAGGCCTACAACCTCACCTTTCATGAAATACACATGAGACTATCCAACACCCTCCTCCCAGAGGAGCATGGATGAGTCTGGGAACAAGCCCAAAATTGTACCAATAAAGTCCACCAGTTGAGACTACAATTCCTCTGGAGGCCAAACAAGAAGGGACCAATTCATCACCTGTTTACTGACAGGTTTAAAAAGGGCAGCTCATAATGCCATCAATTATGATAAGAGGTCAGTCAGGATGAAAATGAAAACCCCTTTTCCTTTTTAAACTGCCTGACTCAGGCCCTACTTCAATACACCAATTTAGATCCTGAGTCACCTGATGGTCAAAATTTACTCATGACCTACTTCTTCTCCCAAAGC